GGTCCACTTAACCCAAGAACATATGTAAATATGGCAAGTGGTGGTGGGTTTTTTTGGTTTTGTTTTTTTAATTTACAAATATCACAAATTTCATATTAAAATTTTAAATATCAGTGATTTAAATATTCTTTTCCCAATGAAGAGTGACCTTACCAACTGCAATAATTGGAGACTAATCCCATTACTTTCAGGGCCTGGGAAAATCATGTGAAACATCATCCTACAACATATCAATAAACAGACACCTTCAACTTGGAGAGGGACAAGCAGGAATTAGACAACTGAGATTACATGTAGACCATATTGTTGTTCTCAGACACATTATAGAATAGGGGTCGGCAACCTTTCAGAAGTGGCGTGCCGAGTCTTCATTTATTCACTCTAATTTAAGGTTTTGCATGACAGTAATACATTTAAACGTTTTTAGAAGGTCTCTTTCTATAAGTCTATAATATATAACTAAACTATTGTTGTATGTAAAGTAAATAAGGTTTTTAAAATGTTTAAGAAGCTTCATTTAAATTAAATCAAAATGCAGAGCCCTCTGGATCGGTGGCCAGGACCCGGGCAGCGTGAGTGCCACTGAAAATCAGCTCGCATGCCGCCGGTTGCCAACCCGTTATAGAACAAAGTGTGGAGAGGCAAGCACCTCTTGGTGATAAATTGTATAGACTTCCAGAAGGCTTTGGAAAGCATGCACAGAGACAGTCTTTGGAGAATTATGGCATATTATGGAACACTAGCAAAAATAATTAGAATAATCAAGGATCTACATATAGGGTGGGCAAATTTCGGCCCAGGGGCCGCATCCGGCCCTTCAGACATTTTAATCCGGCCCTCGAGCTCTCACTGGGGAGCAGGGTCCAGGGCTTGCCCTGCTCCAGCCGTATAGCAGGGTTGGGGGCTTCCCCCGCTCCACGCATGCTGTGGCTCCGCGCGGCTCCTGGAAGCAGTGGCATGTCCCCCCTTCGGCTCCTACACGTAGAAGCAGCCAGGGGGCTCCGCATTCTGCCCCCATCCCAAGTGCCGCCTCCATAGCTCCCACTGGCAGGTAATGCAGTCAATGGGAGGTGCAGGGGCGGTGCCGCCTGGCTGCCCCTCTGCGTAGGAGCCAGAGGGGGGACATGCTGCTTCCAGGAGCTGCTTGAAGTAAGCACCACCTGGAGCCTGCAACCCTGACTCCCTTCCGTGCCCCAACCCCTCCCCCAGCCCTGATCCTCCTCCTGCCCTCTTAACCCCTGGGTCCCAGCCTGGAGCACCCTCCTGCACTCCCAACTCCTCATCCTCAGCCCCACTCTGAAGCCGCACCCCCATGCATCCCAACCCCCAGCCTGGAGTCCCCTCCCGCACCCTGAACATCTCATTTCTGGCCCCACCCCAGAGCCTGGACCCCCAGCCAGAGCCCTCAACCCCCTCGCACATCCCAACCCTCAATTTTGTGACTATTCATGGCCTGCCATACAATTTCCATACCCAGATGTGGCCCGAGAGCAAAAAGTTTGCCCACCCCAATCTATATGATAATGCTGAATGTGCAGCCAGAGATGGTGACAACATCCGCTAACGGTTTTCAATGACAACCAGAGTAAGGCAAGGGTATAATATGTCTTCACTATTGATTGCACTGATCATTGACTATGTCATGAGGAAAGGAACCACAAAAGGCCACAGAGGAATTTTATGTACAAATGATAAAGTGCAATTGGATGACACTGTCCTGCTTAGTTCAACACATCCCTTAATGGAGGAAATGACACAGCTTTTGCCAGATAGAACAAAACAAGTTGGTTTGTTCACCAACAATGGGAAGCCAAAATATATGGATATCCATGTCCCACAGGTAACCATTAGAGTGGATGAAGAGAAACCTGAAAAAGTAAGTCATTTTACCTGTCTATGCAGTGAGATGTGCAATGATAGTAACACCATGCTAGATGTCAATCAAGGAATATCAAAAGGAGCAAACCATGTTCATAAACTTGAAAAGATTTGGAAAAGTAGCATGATTGGCACTGACACAGAAATACAATTTTTTAATACCAGTATCATGTCTGTCCTCAATTATGGAGCAGAGTCATGGAAATCTACAACAGAAATGGATAAAAAGATCAACTCATTCCAAAATAAATGCCCGTGGAAGTTCTTCAGAATCCACTGGAAAGAGTTTCTTGCAAAATCAGAACAACAGATATATTTAGGACACACTGTAAGGATGCCATCAACATGACTTCCACAGCTAGTGATAATATGACACCACCTGGAAAAAGGAACAGAGGGCAATTTTGAAAAATATTACACAGTTCAACAGAGAAAGAAGTGAAATCCATCAACATGACACTCAGAAGCCTGAATAGACCAGCACAAGACTAAAATAAATGGTGGCAGAAACTGGTGGATGCCTTATACACCTGAGGGGGTGTTGGAGGATAAAGAAAAAGAAAGAAGAAATATTCTCTTATTATTACTTGTAAATAAAATTATCTACTCTTACACTCACATATATGGAAATTTGGATCAGACACAGGTCCGAGATTTTATTACAGGGCAATTACGTTTACATAGGAAAATTGGTAGAGAAATTTCCAAAAGGTATGTCATTTTTAATAAAAATTTCATCTTCTGCTAAAGCTTTATTATTTTTAACCAGCTCGGTAGCTAGTCAGAAAACTCTTGAGAAAACATTTTATGCAAATTCTTCCTCCTCTCATTGTTTTGACCAACTCTAATAATAATGCTTAATACTTGTAAAAGCAATCTTCCAAACATTTCACAACCTTTACCTCATTCTCACAATAGCCTTGAATATAGGTACCATTATCCCCATTTTGTAGACTAAGAGACTCTGGCATAGAAATTAAAGCCTCTAGCCTGCAAGTTGTGCCACATGGGTAGACCTCAGTGCCAATTTGTTGTGGCTCTGTGTAGTTATACCTACAAGGAACATTTTGAAGAATCTGAGCCTCAGATCATGGAGGGTGTGTGAAATGGGAATAGAATTCCACAGTTCCTGGCTCCCAGTTCGTGAAGAAGTAGGGTCTCAGCACAGTTCACGTTAACTATTCTTTTCTTCCAACATAATCCCTTCCATAATTCCCTTCATTGGAATAGACATTATCAATCTATTAAAGGCTATGGTTAGGTTGCACTTTGTTGAGGCAACAGTAGACAAACTACTGCCCATCTTGCACTCCTATGACAATGACCTGCATCATATAGCTCAGTGGCTCTCAACCTTGCCAGACTACCGTATCCCTTTCAAGAGTCTGATGTGTCTTGTGTACCCCCAAGTTTCATCTCACTTAAAAACTATTTGCTTACAAAATCAGACACAAAAATTCAAAAGTGTCACTATTACTGAAAAATTGATTTTCTCATTTTAACTGTATAATTATAAAATAAATCAATTGGAATATAAATATTATACTTACATTTCAGTGTATATTATATAGAGCAGTATAAACAAGTCATTGTCTATATGAAATCTTGTTTTGCATTAATATATTTGTTATTTTCCTAAAGCAAGGTTAATTCTCCTTGGTTGGTATAATTTGGTACTTGGTTTTACCAACTAGAAGGATAAATAAATATGTATAAATATAATGTAAACAATTATATAGCTTACCATACATTTATCCTGATTCTTAATTTTACATTTTTGTTAGAAAATGCTGAATGACATTTCTTATTTATGAGATGATTAATTTTTTCTCAAGTTGCATTTGGATGGAAATAGGAATTCAATTAAAATTCATAAAAACTGTATTTTACAATTTTTTATTACTTCAAACTAAATTAAATTGTGCTGAATACATAAGAAAAATATCAAAACATGTTTTGCATTTATAATTAACGGATGTATTAGACCAGTGGTTCTCAAACTTTTGTATGGGTGACCCCTTTCACACAGCAAGCCTAAGAGTCTGACACTCCACCCTTATAAAGTAAAAACACATTTTTTATATTTAACACTATTATAAATGCTGGAGGCAAAAAAGGGTTTGGGGAGGAGGCGGACAGCTCGCAACCCTCCCCACGTAATAAAATCATGACCACCAGTTTGAGAACCGCTGTATTAAACAATGGAAATATTATCTGTTGTTAGTGAATAGAACTGACTTTAGAACTAGTAAATCTCACCCTCTCACATTTTATTCTTAGATTGAAAGAGGAAAACAAGCTTTCCTGCTTTTTCAACTCCTAATTGGTTTCTTAACTTCCACTGAGCTAGTCATGGACGTCAGCTAGTTGAAAAAAACTTAAAATGAAGAAAAGAGTCCCTCAGCACCTGTAGAAGAGGCTCTTGCTTTTAAAAGCCAGCTAAGCACTTCAACAAACTGGCTTCAGGTGCTTCACCAGGGGCTTCCACGAGTTCAGTAGTTCCACTTTCTTTAAAACTAAAACCTGGAGCTCCAAGCATGTGCGGCTTAATATTTTTTGTATATAATGTTAAGGATGTTCATGGATTACAGGAAGCTGAGCCCTGAACTCAGGTTGCAATAATTTCACATTTAATTTTAAATAAGGTTTACTTTTAAAAAGAAATGTATTCGGTTTAAATAAAATCTGCTTTAAAGCGAAAAATTGTCCGCCTCGTCCTGCCTACCTCATACACCCCTCACGCTCCTGACTTTGCGAGTTCCCAGCCTCTGTTCTCCTGAGAGCGCCCTCTGCCGCCCCAGTCCCCCCGCCGGCAGCCGGCCTCGCACCTCCAGCCCCCATGGCTGCCCCAGCCTCGGGTGCGGGGGAGGGCCCGCGAAAGTCTGCGCATGCGTATTATAACTCCGCGGGTGGAGGATGGGCACGCTCCCGTCCCCACGCCGAGAATTTGTGCGCTGCCCACCGCCCCCTTGTGAGGCGTTGAAGCAAGAAGGACACTACAGCTTCCGGCATGCAACGCGCAGCGGGCCTAGGCGGCCGGCGGCGGCGGACTGGCAGCGGTGCATGCTGGGAGCTGTAGTTCCCGGTTCTGTATTGTCTCGCTGGTCGGGAACCCGACCGCCACCCCTGCCGGGTGAGTGACTGACAGCTCCCTGCAGCCAGTGGCCGAGGGGCTGGGTGGTGGAGACAGGCGCCCGTCGCCCCGGTGACCGGTGGCGAGTTGGTGACTCGGGGAGGAGCTGGAGTCCTAGGGGACGGCGGTGAGTGGGTCTGGGAGCGGTGCTCCCCCCAGACCAAACCGACTGTGCGCTACCGGCCCGGGACCCTACTCGGGACGGGGGGTGAAGGAGTAAAGTGGGGGAGGGGAGAGACCTGAGGGGACTCGGGGGGTGGGGGGTAGCGTGCAGAAGTTAGACACCCCCCGCGCTGGGCGGCGTTGGGTGTGTGCGACGGGGAGTGGTTCCGTTCCAAGCTGGGCTTTGGGGGGGGGATGGGGCTTGGTTTGTTGGACTCCGATTTCACTGCTTGCTTTTCAAACGGTCCCAACTGACCCGGGTGCTGCTTTTCCCTCCCAATCCCAGCGGCTCCACCCTCCAGGGAGGCTGAGGCTGCGGCTGCTTCGACAAGGTGGTTAACGGGTAACACTGTTTCGAGAGTAGCGTGCAACTGTTGCTTGGCTGGCGGAGGGGGTACAGTAAACTGCTCCTGGCCCTCGAGGAGCACGTCCCCAACTATCCAGCAGCTACCTGACCCCACTCGCTGTTGTATCTGCCTGCCCTGTTAATGAATTTACTTCAGTACCCTTGTGAGGTGGGGAAACGCTATTATCTCCACTTTGCAGAGACACAGAGAGGTCACTGCTGTGATTGATGCTCCTTTCTTTAGGAAAGAGATTTATAAACCAAAATCTCTGCACATTACTGATAATAATACTTGGCAATTGTGTAGCACTATTTGTGTTCAAAGTGTTTTACATCTACTAATTCTCCTTATACCTCTGGGAAGTGAATATGTATGATTCCATTTTTACAGATGGGGAAAATGAGGGAGAGAGGTTAGGTGACTTGCCCAAGGGCACACAAGGAGTTGGTAGCAGTGGCAGGATACCAGTCCATCTGAAGATATAACTGGCTCTTTTCTTCCTCTTCCTAGTTTGCCTGCACTCTTTTCCGATGTGAGTGCTGGAAGTGAGTTGCTCTGTGATCTTTTACCTAGGGCACCGGTTTCAAATTGTGGGTTGGACCCCAAAGTGAGTCGTGACCCCATTTTAATGGGGTCACCAGGGCTCGCATTAGAGTTGCTGGGGCCAGGGGCCAAAGCCCCACTTCCTTGGGTTGCAGGGCTTAGAACTCAGTTTCAGCCCTGAGTGGAGGGACTCAGAATAGATTACAGGCCCCCCGCCTGGGGCTGAAACCCTTGAGCTTCGACTTTGGACCCCCCCCCTCCAAACCCTGCCCAGGATGGCAGGGCTTAGGCTTTGTTCCCCCCTCCTGGGAACATGTAGTAATCTTTGTTGTTAGTAGGAGGTCTCAGTGCAATGAAGTTTGAGAACTCCTGACCTAGGGCTTGTCTATACTTACGCGCTGGTTCGGCGGCAGGCAATCGAACTTCTGGGTTCGATTTATCGCGTCTAATCTG